CAAGAAGATGTTCCAGAAAAAGCCCGAGAAGCAGGAGGCGCCTGCTCGCACGCCTGCAGATTTTCCATTCTTTCTCTGGGGTTGTGATCTAGTAGGTTGCAGGCTCTGAGTTTGGCAATCTCCTGGGCTGTTCAGACCATGTTCGGAGCTCTTTATGTTGTGCGTAGGAAGCAAAGGAACCAAAGAAGCTGGTGAAGTGGGCGAAGGGCAAGTCGGCGTGCTCCTTCTGGGGTGCCCAACTCATACATCGCGAGGAGTTTAACAAATCCGACATGCCCCTGAAGGGCTGCCAATGTAGATACCAAGGTCGCCCCTATTATCAGGAGTTGAGCAAGGAGTGTATCATTCAGGATGATACCATCTACTTTAGCCCTCCCCGCGTGTTGGAAAAATACCCTCACGTACAGTTGTGGGATCCAAGGTGCAAGTGCGTAAAACGTTACTTGCATGAGAGAGATAGACCCTTGCTCGCGGAAAAGATTCAAGGGGTTGCGGCCGTGGACTTTTGCTGGAATCTGTTCGCGGCGGCTGACCAAGCAAACAGTTATCACCCGAAATACTGGTCAGACAAGTGGAAGACAGACATGCAGAAAAGGGTCAACGAGACGCTGAGCATGCACCGCTGCCAAAAACAGCTGCCAGACCCTAAGAAGATCGAAGACCTTCTGGAAAGCGGGGGGAGCTTGACGTTGAAACAAGCCTGGAAGAAGGTTTGCTACGACGAGTGTGAAGATCTTCTGAATGAGCTGCGTGGGACGATGGAGACTGTGGTGGAGACAGGACGCCTGAGGAAAAACTCCTGGAGCGAGATCTGTGTGGAGCATGTCGTCAAGAAGGTTGAGTCGCACTTGTTGGGCTGCTGCGGCAGAAGCTGTGGCTGGAACGGGTGGACATGTGCCTCTTCTGGCTGATTTTATTTAATGGGTTTGTTTGATCTCCCAAGACTTAGTGGAATAGGTTTGCGCAAGCAAGTAGTAATGAGGTCAGTTGCGGATGTATACAACAGAGAAAAGCGTAATGGCATTGTGGCTTTCGTGAAGGGTTTGGGGTTTCCAAGAGGTGCCAGGCCTTCAGGGCCCGCAAAACACATCAGTGTGCCCAAGCCCCAGTCAGAAATTTCCTCGATTGGATACTTACTGTCTTGATTCAGAAAAGCAGATAGACTTACATTCTACAGGTTCACAAAGTTTGGCAGTTTTTATTTCTTGTAGTACTGTAGGAACTTATTCTTCCGAATTCCGACTCAGAAATTCACTTCCGGAGGGATGGCTTACTTCCCCAACTTTGCACGTCTAGGTAAACGAAGAGTTGACTTGACCATTTCCGACTGAGCGGGTTTTCGCTCCGAACCCGGTCTTTTTCGAAATTTCCGAATCAGCTGCTTCAGTTTCAAAATCAGGTTGCTGTCCGAATCAGGAGGATTAGGTCCTGAATCAGGCAGGTTGACTAGTTTCGGAATCGTGCAGGTTATTATCCAATGGGCACGTTGTTCTGAATCGGGTGTTGTTTAGTTTTTGAATTTTCGTGTTGGCTTTGAAGGATTTGGTTTTCTTCATGACCTTGTGTGACCCTTTGTTGAGGCCGCCCGTAGGGATGAGCTTTCCAGGCCGTGACAAGCGGCTTGTGTGCTTTCTAGCCAAACGCATCCCCCCACCATGCCTGCAAGAATGCGTCAAGGTGGTTTGAAACATTTTGAAACCATACTTTTCTGCCGCATGGAAGATGTCACGCTTCTCGGGTTCATGTCACAAAGCTCCAGTAGTGACAGTGGCAGCGATTAGCTCGGTCATGCTTCCCAGGCCTTCACTGGCCCTTCATCCCGCCTGCCGAGCAGGACGCTTGGAAAGCTGAGTGTTGTGTTGAAGCAAACATAGTGCGAGGCTCAGCGAGGGAGCAAATGTGCCTGAGTATCCTGCCGGATGAGCAAGCGCAGCAGAAGTATGTGGAGGAGGACTTGAAAGATCCAGATCCAGGCTTTGCTTCAAGTCTTGGAGAAGATGAGCATTTGGTCTGGACCGAGAAGGGTGTGCGATCCA